AGCAGGATGGTCCCCACGCTGAAAGCCAACATGGTCCTGAGCGGGGCCCTGTGCTTTTGGTGAGTGTCTGAGCCCTGGGGGCAGCTGTGCATGAGAGAAGCGAGCACCAGGTGGGCCTGATGGCCACCTTTCCTGGTGGGGGTAGTTGGGCAGTGGGGACAGCCCCCAACTCTCTAATAGGACCTCTGCCAGCCTCTCCAGTAGGGTGGACCCTCGTAGGAGACAGGCGTGTCGTCTGTGTGGACCTGCAGTTCATGTGTCCACAGTGAGTGGAGGTCAGGAGACGGGCCCGAGTCTGGCTGTGACACCCACTGCAGTGACCTGACGTCATTCTGGCCCTGCTCCACTGCCCACTGCTGCCCTTTGGGACAAAACAGCAGCAGCAGAACTGTCCGGCTGGTTGGTCTGTCTGCCTGGCCTCAGCCATGTGCTTACCAGGCACTCGGCTGTGCTCTGGACGTCGCAGCTGTGAACAGCACAAGGCCTTGCTGTTGCTGAACAGCAGGTCTAGAGCAGTTTTTTCCCAAAGATGAAGGAATTTTGAACTTGAAGAAATTCTTAACTCAGTAGGGACCATGTGGCTGAGAGGAAATAAAGGCCCCGGCGCCCGTGACAACGGATGAGCGGTTTAGTCTGGAAGATGCAGGGCATTGTCTGGTGCGTCCTTTGAGCTCAGAGAAGGGTAGACTCTGCGGCCGTGACTCAGCGGTGATGGTGGCAGGGCAGGGCGGGGCCCCGGGACTGACTTTCTAATGTGACATGGGGCGAGATTGCTGGGTGTAGGTACGACTGAGTAGGAAGAAGGGTGGGGACCCAGGGAAGGCTGTGGGGTTGTCCCCTGGTGGGGCTGGGTGACTGCTGTGCCTCCTTCTGGCACAGTGGGAGGAGGGGGGCATAGTGCCTGGGCCTGGGGGACCCTGGAGCTGGGTCATGTGCACAGAACATTAGCCTCTCTTGCTTGAGTGTCATGTCTTGATGTTCCAGAATGAAGGAAGCAGTGCTTAAGGTGCTCTATTTGCATGACGACCAGCTTCTGGCCGGAAGGCTGCAGGCAGGGAAGCTCATGAAAGATGTGTGGCCACCAGGCCTCTTCTTCCTAGGTTCCTGTGCTCTCTAAGGCGGGGCTGGGAGGGCCCAGGCCTGGCACCGCAGACGGGCGCCCTGAAACCAGGCTCGGAGCAAGGGCAGGTAGCAACCACACCCCCAGCAAAGTGAGATTGGTGCCTCTCAGCAGAGGCGGGGTGTTTCCCAGGTGAATGCTTTGTCCCTCCCTCACAGGTGCTTTCAGGTCACACATTCCTTTCCTGGGACCTAGTGCTGAGAAGAGAACTAAGATGGCTCTCTGTGCCTTTGCTTCCTTGGGGGATATGCTTCTGCCCCTTTACCCAGAGTCCCCTCTGCTCTCTGGGGACCCCCGTCGCTCAGTATGCTGGGAACCTGAGAGCTGGTGGCACCATCTGGCCTGGTGTTTACTTGTTCTGCCTTCCACAGCATGTGTGACAGGCCACTTCTCTCTAAAACAGTACACATCTGCCCATCTGAGACACGTTCGCCAGGCACTGGGGCCAGGCAGACCCTCTGCAAGGTCGTGTGCGTGTGCACATGTGGGTACGCAGATCTGTGAGTGTACACGTACATGTGCAGACATGTGTGTGTGCACACAGCCTTGCTTGTGTTTGAGCACATGTGCGCATGTGAGTGTGCACGTGGGGACTGGCACAGAAATGATGGAGACACAGCTTGGTTCTCAGGTGTCAGAGGACGTAGCAAATGTCCAGATGCCTCTGAGGAGGAGCTGGAGGGTGGAGGGGCATTGAAGGAGGAAGTCAGACCCCCATGGGCTTGGGAAAGACTTGAAAACTTGACCCTGAACAATAGGGCAGGCATAAGGGAGGCTGGTACAGTGCACTCGGTGTCTTGAAGTCTTCTAGGCTAGCAGGCAGGAGATCACCCTTCCTGCATGACATCTCTGATAGCTGAGGACAGCACGCCTCCCAGAGACCTGCTCCCCAAAGTCCATGATGGGGGAGGGGGCAGGCAGGCAAAGCTCCTGCATCCGCTGTCCCTCCTGTAGGCGAGGAGATCAGGGTTGTCCCCAACCGATTTCTGGATGCCAGCCTCTCTGCCGTCATCCTGGGCGTCCAAGGGCTGGAGCCAGTGCTTGTTATGTGGCACGGGGCAGGAGCCCACTCTGAAGCTGGAGGTGAGTCCTGGGGGGCACGGGCTTCAGCAGGCCGCAGACTCTAGACTCTGAGGGCTATGTGTCCTCGCCTTCACCCGCCCGCGCCCCTCATCTTGGCCCTCTGTTCACAGCTGGTAGATACCATGCAGCTCTACCACAGCCCTGAGGTGGCCAAGCCCTTCACCTTCTGCCGCTGGGACATGGGGGTCACTGCCAGCTTCGAGTCAGCTGCCTTCCCAGGCTGGCTCCTCTGCATGATGCCTGAGGCCTACCAGCCTCTCAGACTCACCTAGCTCCTGGGAGATGCCAGTGTGGACCCGCCCATCACCAACTTTTACTTTCATCAGTGTGACTAGGCCCCCAGGCCACCGCCCCTCCTCTGCCCCCATCTACCTGGTGGGGCACATGCCTGCTATCTTAGTTCCTAGCTCCAGGAAACCCCGAGATCTGGGCCGGGTGCATGGTTCTCTCCCAACTCGGTGCTGCTTCTGGTGTGGACTCTCCAGGAGGAAATATTCACAGGAAATATTCACAGGAGGCGAATATTTCCAAGGGGCTGGGCAGGGGCTGTTGGTGATGTGCCCAGTGCTCCTGAGCTCTACAGGCCAGCCCATCCCCAGCTGAGCCTATTAGGGCCACCAGCTGCCCACTCAAGGTCCTGTCAACACCGCAGTGCAGGAGAGGAGGATGTCACAGAGTGAGGGTCCCAAGGCCCTGCCCTGCCTTCCAATTTAGCTGCATGATGCGCACAAGCACGCGTGCTCGTGTGTGTGCATGTCCTCTCCGTCCTCACTGTCCCACTTGCCATGCTCAGGGAGGGCCGTGGTGCCCAGGGTGACAGCTCTAGCTCAGAGATCCGAGGATGGGCAGCTGGGTCACTCCTGAAGCCCAAGGTGCAAGTAAAATCCAAGAGGCTGGAGCCTGTTCACTTGGAAAGATGCTCGTTACGCAGTGCGTGGGAAGAGTGTAGCACCGCGGCACAGCCCTAGTTAACCTAGTTCTCAGTTAAGAACTGTCTGTCTGCTCCTGTGCAACAGGAAGCCCGAGAGTTCACCTTAACACTTGGGGTGTCAGGCCCCGGGGCTTTAGGTGCTATCCTTGTTCCTATTTACCAGTACCCCTTGCTGTCACACAGTGGCAGCAGGCCCCCTGTGTCACCATCAGGGGAACTGGTCTTGTGGAGAGCAGAGTGGACAACTGCTCACTCCCTGAATGACGTTTGGGCAGAGCCTGGAGGATGGGTGTGGGCCCCCAGTGAAAATTTCACACACTGTGACCTGGAGTGGTCACGGCCACTGAGACTCCAGGTATGGGGCTCGGCCTCGCAGGGTCTCCTGTGCCGAGTGGATAGTGTCCCCAGATTTGTGTTCCTCGGGAACTTCAGACTGCAGCTTTGCATGGAGATGGGGACTTCGCAGGTGCAATTAGCTAAGCGGTTGTGCTGCACTGGGACGGACCCCCATCCAATCTGCCGCTGTCTTTGCATGAGGAAGAGAGGATGTGCAAGGACTCAGGGGACCCAGGCAAGAAGGTGGGTTGGAGACACCAGTGCCCAGGGGAACATGGCCTGCCAGAGTCCTTAGCTCAGAGAGCATGTCCCTGTTGTTTTAAACCACCAAGTCTGTGCTAACTGGTTGCAGCAGTGGAGGCAATTGGTCGTCCAGGTGTCCTGGTGTACACACCTGTGTTCCCCCATCCCCGCCACACACACACTGCCCGGCCATCTCTGTGACCTGTAGGACATGGTGTAAGTAACACGGTGCCTCTTCTGAAGTTCCTTTGGCTTCTGTGCTCGTCTCTCTGACTCTTTGTCCTTTGCGCTAGGGGACAGCCGCCATGCTGTAAGCAGCTGAAAGAGGCTGGATAGTGAAAAATGAAGCATCCTGCCAAGAGTCACATCTGAAGATGCCGCTGACAGCTCAGCTGCAGCCTGGGGACACTGAGACACAGAACCAGCCTTCGAGCTGTTCCAGACACCAACCCTCAGAAACTGCAAGAGAAATAAACACCTGGTGCTTTATGTGACTCTGTTTTGGGGTCACCTGTTAGGTGTCACTGATACGCAGTGAAGAGAAGTAAATGCATTTATTTTATCTTGATTCAATTTTCTCCAACATTTTTATTTTCCTTCTCACAACAAACACTGGCCCTTTCGTTGACTATTCTGCGTTCCCACAAGGTCTAGGTCTTCCTTGACAACCTTTGCGCCTCCAGCCATGCATGCCAGGAACTGTGGCTCAGGTCCGCACCTGAATTCCAGGGGTAAGAGCAGAGGCTGGGGCGGGGCCAGATCTGAGCGCAGATATTGCACCTGTTCCCCACAATCAGACCAACCTGGCAGGTTCTGATTCCACTGAGAGGCTGGCAAGGGGGCAGCCAGGCCAGAGGGTTTGCTTGCTGGACACTGACATAGCCTCCTGGACCCCATGGAGAACACGCCCCAGGTACCAGGCTGCTTCTGAAGACATAGTCTGTACTCTGTCCCCTATTGTCGCCTCCTCCCAGGAGTCTCTGCTGAGTTGAGAGCCCTAGCCTTGCTCTAATAGTGCCTTGTGTGTCTCTATGTGAATGTCCCCTCACTTGGGGTCTGTGGCCCCTAAAATGACCTTGAAGTCAGGGCTGCATCAGTTTGTGTTCAGGTGCCTGGCACAGTGCTGGGCACTTAGAATCCAGTGAGAATCGCATGCAGAGGCCACTTGTCATACCAGAACACGCTCCCTCCACCAGCTGAACCAACCCACCTCGGGAGCAGCTGACTCTCACGTCTTTCCTAAAGCTTCTGTAGCCTGGAGAGTGTCGGCACCATCGGCAGGACGACAAAACTCAGAAGGGTGTTAGCAGGTGAGCTGGCATCACGATGCTCAAGTGACATGGCCTGTGGTTGGGGGTCTCTTCTTCCTCATGATCCCCCGCAGAAGCCAGTGTTTAGGGAGCTGTGTGTCTGCAGCACGTACCGTCTGTGCCAGTGGTTGGCACCGAGGACAGTTGAGTGTCCAGAGAGGGTCTCAGACCCAGTCACGGGAGTGGAGATGGCACGGAGGCTCTGAACCATAAAGAAGCCGTGTACTCAGAGGTCTCTCGTCCTGTTCCACCTCGGGATGTGCAAGCCCTGGCCAGTGGTACTGTGTCGGGGCTCTCCTGGGTGACCACAGGGCCCACATACTGTTAGGGTTCTTAGGAGGTGGTGGGGTCCCCGGCCCTGAGTGGTGACACAGAGCCGATTCAGTCCACTTCTAAGGACGCCGCGACAGCTATTATGTCGTGTCTGAGGCCGGCCTGGTCCTGGGAATTTAGTTTTGTCCTCAAGGACATTGTCTGCCTGTGTTGTCTCCAACCTGCCCACAGACTTGAGTTGCCTGTTAACTGTCTTTTCAAGGGTTGAAAACTCAGTAACCCAGCTGGACTGTGAATCTCAGGGGCCCTGTGGTGTGTGCTGTTGTCACAGCAGTGTGGGTGCTCAGTGTTGCCCAGGATCATGCCCCATGCCTGGCCCTTCCCTTAGAGGGATGGGGCTTGGGAGGAGTGAAGAGCGACTGGCCTCACAGAACAGAAAGTAGGCCCAGCCTGTCCACCTTCTCTCACCTCTTCTGGGGTGCTGCCTGACCTCTCCCACTACCCCCAAGTCTTTTGTGGAACTTCGCAGGTGACCCGATGTGGAGAATCTCCGCGAGATGGGGTTCCCAGAGAACACTGTGCCCAGGTGTTCTGCCCCCAGAGTGAGGGGAGTGGGCGGACAGATGGGGGTAGGCAGGCTGAGTTAAGTTCTGGCAGTTAGGGACCTGTGTGTCCACCCTGTCTTGCTCACGTTGAGTCATGTGCCCTAGGTATCCGGGCTTATGGCACTGGCCTGGTTCAAGATAGATCTGGGCTCAATGTCCTCCCTAAGTGGCCTTCCTTAGACGTCTTGGCTCGTCGAGCTGATGTTGTCAGAAACTGTTGAAATACAAAGGCATCTCTGTCTTCTTTCCAAACAGGGCCACAGTCACCACGCTATCAGCCCCCACTCTCATGTCACCTGTCTGGCTGCAGACATCAGAGGCTGTTCTGTCCTTGTCTCCTCGGACATATCCACTCTTGCCTCTTCTACCTCTAAGCCTAGAATGGAGCACATGGGGCACCAGAGGGAAGGTGACCAGAAGACGTCTGACCCCAGCAGTGCTTATCTGGTGGCCCAGGCCACCCACGACCGTGTCAATCATAGTAGCTAAGAGCAGAGGCCCAGCGCCTGGCTTCTGAGGACAAACGCTCATTAACGCCCCAACCTTCTCATTACCCAAACTGTGCTGCTAATGTTGTGAACCCCCAGGCTCTTCTTCCTTGACCTGGAGCCATTTATAGAGATGCTACAGGCCTGAGCCATCTGGCCAGACAGTGTAAACCCAGGACAGGCGCCTGGAGAGCCAGGGGTTCCAGGCATACAGGCCCTGCAGGTCAGTGGTGGGCGGGCTGTGTGCGCTCTCCCTCTCCCTCTCCCTCCCTCCCTCTCTCTCTCTAGTGCTCTTGCGCTCGCTCACTCACTCACTCGCGCACGCTCTCTCTCTCTCTCTCTCTCTCTCTACTTCCTCTGCCAACATCTCCAGTGTGCTCTCTTCCTTCATACCTCCTGGCAACTCTCTGGATGACAAGGTGGACGGCAGGACACTGCGGGATTCCAGGTGAGTTCAGGGCACAAAGAAGGAATCTGAGGAGGAGGTGGATGTTAAGGATTTAAAAGTCTTTAGAACCTTAGATTTGAGGAAGTAATTTCAGGGATTCCGGGTCGGTGGTGTTCGGTAGTTGGCGAGGCTAGGGGCTCCACATGGATGCCCCGGTGCTGGCTCCACTGCTCAAGGCAATGCTCGCAGGCCCCCGTGTCTGCACTGCTCCCTGACTCTACAAGAGCAGGTCCCTGGTATCCATATCACTCTCACTAGGTTTTTGTGTAAAATGCATAGTGAAACTCAGCTTTGAAAATATTGCCCTGCCCAGCCTCTCATTCCAGTGGCAATAACTTGGAAGCCCAGGGACAAAGGGTACTTTCCAAGGTGGCAAGAGAAACAGGCGGCAGCTCTGGGGCCAGAACCCCATGTCGCTGTTTAAACCTGCTGTGAGGTCGTGGGACCCACTTGTAAACACTGTGCTTCTTCGGGCGGAGGGCGGATGGTGCTGGGAGAGCTATGAGCTGCGTGACTTTAAGATCTTGTTAACTTCTGTGGGGAAACGAGTGTCTGCACACAGAACCACGATGACATGGAGAGTTTAGTAGGAGAGCAGCACAGGGCGCGACAGCAAAGCGAAGCCTCGGCGACCCCACATCACGGAATCACCATCGTTTCATCTGAATCTTAATAACCACGTACTGGTTTGATGGTTTTATAGATGCTGGGGTTGAGGATTGGAGGTGCAGTGACAGGCCCTCGTGTGTCTGAGTCATTTCTCTGAGCTGATAATTAATTTGGAGGAACTAGATAGTTGGCCCTGGCACCAAAGCCTGGATGGACGGTGGTGAGGAAGGTGATGTCTGAGGCAGGGACAGCAAAGGCAGCCCTGAGTGTGGCTACTGGGAAGATGAGGAGTCACGGGCCTGGAGAAGCGAGATGCACTCTGACGAGCGAACTCAGGCCAGCAGGGGTGGATCAGATGGCCTTGGAGACAGCAAGCTGGGTGGGGACATGGGGAAACAGTGCCCAGAGCGGGAGTCCAGGAGGGGCTGGATTTGAGGGAGAAACATCAGAACACGGACATAGGTGAAATGGCTGTAAACGTGCCCTGTAAAGGCGAATCCACCCGCTGGAACTTGCTGGTGAATCGGGCCAGAGTCAGGGGACCTGGGAGAAATGTTGATGATTCTTGGGGTTTGAATCTCTGGCTGGAAGAGATTATGTCAGCAAGAGACATGAAACTGGGAGGGAGAACGAGCTGGGCGCCAAGGCTGACATGACTGTAGGGATACTTGGTTGGCTATGGAGGCAGAGTGTCTGGATGGGGTGTCCTGGATGTGCTGGAGGTGAACTTGGGTGTTCAGTCTGGGCTCGGGAGTGCTAGGCTGAGGTGGTCACTGTGGCTGTGGAAACGGGTGACTTGAAATTTTTGAGACATGAAAGAGATGTGCTTGCAACTTCGACTTGTGGCTTTCAGCCTTAGGGACGCTTCCACAAGGTAGGGACAGCCTACAGGGGGCATGAGGAGGGGGTAAGGAGTGGGTGAAGGAAGGCAATTGACGCCAAGGGGCCTGAAGGCCAGATAGTAGAGCGACCAGGAAATAGTCTAGACTTAGCTCCATGAAGGCCAAAGTCAGTCTCGAGAACACCTTCCACGCAGAGGGCGGATGGGGACCCGGGAGAGGGAGGCCCGGTGGTGCACAGATAGCATGGAGGATGCCTAGGGCTACTTGCTGGTGACATTGGAGCCAGAAAAGGGGAGCTGGTGAGGTCTGAGACAGCCAGATATGGTGTCCAGGGAGAGGCGCAGGACAAAGTCCAGCGAAGGTCACTTGGGGACAACAGAGAAGGAACAGCTTTGGGGACAGAGTACGTGGCACTCAGGGAGGGACCGAGGTGGACACTCCTCGCCAGGACCCCAGGCTCCCTGATGGATGGGGTGCCGACTTCTGGCTCCTCTTTACCCCACTGCAGTCAAGCTGGCACCCAGGCCGGGACAGAGATGGGACTCTGCGGGAGCCCGCGGAGGATACGCTGGGGCCTGGGGCCAGGCTAGGTCAAGGGCTTCTGGGCACCAGGGGACCCAGCTGGACTGGGCCAGCACTGATTC